CCAAACACAGATGAAACTTCCTTTATCTCAGGAAACATCATGCAAAATTTAGTTACAGTGTTTTTAGAGATGTCCAAATGCATAGAGAACAGGTAACTTTCCAAAATACATAGAAGACCTCCTCGACCAGTCTATAATTTTGAAATACTGAGGTGGGTGTTTCGGACAGTGAAAGTGTGATCAGTTCCTTCATATTCCACTGTTTCCCTATTGATTGGTACTGGAGGCATTGTGACTGCTCCTTAGTTTTTGTTTCAGGCTGGTACCCCTTTGGGTTCTCCTTTTGAACCTTAAAACATAATTTGGATTCATTCTGTTCTCTTCCTTTGATCTGCCATTCCTTAGACCAAGGACATGAAACTTCCACTTGAACTGTAATTTTTGTTTTATCCTGCCCTAGTTTTCCTACGTAAATACAGCAATGGAAGTGGGAGGCTAGGACAGCCTGCTTACACCCTTACTTGCACAACTGGCTTTCATGTTTCCCCACAAATACCACCCCCTGATTCTCACAATAGCTAATATAGGTTAACTATCAAATTTGGTGACAAAGAGTCTACCTATAGACCAATCTTTATGTACCCTGTGAGGTAAGGATTACTAACTTGCCTCTTAAGATCTTCTAATGAACTCTAAGTTCTGCTTGTGGACCTGTTAACAGTTTTACTTTTCTTGACAAAGGCTCATAATGAGAATATTAGGTAGCTTTAGTCTTCATAAGTGTTCCATCTCCATCGTGCATTTCCGAGATTTTCACTAAATGATTTGGTACAGACTTCTGTAATTTTGCTAAAATTGAGGCTTCTTGGTTCACTTGTTTCAACCCTGACGTTTTGTGAACTATTGTATTACGATTTATAAAAATAATGATAGATGTAACCATAACTGTAGCCTAGTGTAGGAAACATACTGTTAGACTGACCCTCCCTGGGTATATACCCTTTGGCCACCCCCACCCTGAATACCCTTTTCTGGTGGGTCTAATAGGCTCTGAAGAAGAAGGAAAGCCACCTCTGCTTAACCCTCAAAGCTAAAATGAGCATTTCCTCAGCCAGGTTAAACTGTCCAGTTTGGGAAGGTCTGTTCTCATCATGCCTTGCACTGCATTTTTAGGGAGCTCAGGAAATTGTTCCTGTTCTCCCATCAACTGATTGGGAAGAAGTGGTAATTGCAGAATTGCTTCTGGAAGCATGCCAAAAGAAATGTGCAGAAGGGTATTCTTTAAATTCAGCCCTTCATCTTTCTACAAATGCACATCTTGCTAGTGGTTTGCACTTTCTTGCTTTCAGGTTACTCCCTGTCCCCTTAAATTTAGTCACTGGTGCAATTAGATAAATTTAGTCTGCACTCACTGGTCTTAAGGCAGACCCCTCTTTAGATGTTGCACATTACTTCAATTACGTCAACATGTGGTAAGCCAGCCCTGCTGTGTTTAGGGACACCCCCACCCACCTGCTCTTTCCGCTGAGAGGGATCCTGGAGTTCTGCCCTGACATCCTGCGCCGACTGATGTTTAGTACCACAAGATGAGAGTATCCTGCAAACAGAGAGTTCACAGTGCTCCTTTTGTGGTCTGGGTTCTGTGTCAGGCTTCTTCCCTGGAACGTTCTGTGACTTCACAGAAGCAGGGAAAGAGCCGTCACCTGCTTTCTCTCTGGCCTCCTCTCATGATTCCCTTCTTTCCTTAGCCTATTCTCACATCACCCAGGGGCCTCTTGGTTCCTCGCTTTCCAACCATCTGCCAAGAACTGGCAGGATGACTGGGAGGAGGAAGAGAATCCTGGGGAGGGAAGTTGCTGGGACTGGGACACACTGGGTCAAGCAGGGTGTGGGGAAGGAAGTACTTGCAGGGTGATAGAGCATGGGGAGGGGGATGAAGGTCAGTGCACAGAAACCAGAGCAGCAGGACCCAGCACAGCAGGCTCTGAGGTATAGCAAAAGGTGGGAGTGGAGCTGTAGCAGGCAAGGGCCCACAGCCCAGCTTCCTGGCTGGCCAGGTGGGACTCGCTAGCTCTGGGAGGAAGGGTGTGATTCCTCAGCTGGAGTAGGCTTGGAGCAGGTGAGGATCATATGCCTCGTCAAGCCCAGATGCTGCAATCAGAATGCAGAGTACAGAAAGAAAGCAGAGCTGAGGTGCTGTGTCTGCTCAACTGCCCATGTTGAGGGACATTGGCATCTACGTTCCTAGACTTCTAAAGGACTGTCCTTTGGGTTTGACTCTGGACTGTATTCTGACTGGCGGACTTCAGACTTGTCTACTTTGAGTGACCCTCGACTGCATTTCCTGACCTTTGGACTTTGCTTGTGTGGACAGACTCTCAAATGTTAGACTTTGGATTTGACATACTGACTTTCTGCCAGGTAGGCCGGGGGTTCATTTTCTTCTTGTTTCTTCGTGGCTGTTTTCAAGTGTGATGTTTTCTGGTTTTGTTTTCAAGTACCCCTTGTGAGGCAAATTGGCAATGGGAATACAGTGGTGCCTCGCAAGACGAAATTAATCCGTTCCGCGAGAGTCTTCGTCTAGCGGTTTTTTCGTCTTGCGAAGCAAGCCCATTGACGGATTAGCGCTATTAGCGCTATTAGCGGTTTAGCGGCTATTAAAGGCTTAAAGGCTTAGGGGATTAGCTGCTAAAAGGCTATTAAAGGCTATTAAAGGCTTAGCAGATTAGATGGGGGGGGAAGCGAAAAAAATCTCAAGACTCGCAAGACATTTTCGTCTTGCTAAGCAAGCCCATAGGGGAATTCGTCCTGCGAAGCAACTCCAAAACGGAAAACCCTTTCGTCTAGCGGTTTTTCCGTCTTGCGAGGCATTCGTCTTGCGGGGCACCACTGTACTCTTTGTTGCATTTGTAGACTGTGATTCTCATGCTTGAGTTTCGGTGCATATATTTGTGCTTTTTGTATTTCAAAGATAAGACGGCTTGTGTCATTGTGATGCAGAGATCTATATGCTCAGTTTCTAAGCAGTTAAAATGGCACAGTTATTCAGCCCTTAGAACCATTTTCTTACCACAGGATCGTTTAGCTGGTAAAGACACATTCTGTTTCTGGCATGTGGCAGATCGATGCTCTTTGGATGTTAATGGCTGTAGGAACCAGAGGGGCTGTTGCCTGAACAAAGTTATTACCTCATTATCCATGGCACAGGGTTAGTTGTAAGGTTTAACCATCTGTTCTCATGCAGAGTGGGGTGGGGGGAGGAGATGGACAATACCAATAACATATTTCAAAGTGATACAGCTTCCCAGCCAAGGTTGCAGTTCACAGCATAATCACAGACCTCCACAGTTTTGTGCATTTGCGTTGCTGGGGTCGGTCTCTACCGTCTGCAGATCACGCTTCCAGCTTAGCCTTTTGTTAGTTTTCTCTTGTAGTGCTTTGTCAGGTAGGACCTATTCTGTGTTTGTAGGCTGCTAGGAAAGTGTAAGGTGGTCTGTGTCTCATAAACATTTTTACCCATAAAAACAAAATAGCTACAGAGAATGGAAAGGAAAGGAGCTAAATTTGCACTGCCCTCTGCTTTTTTTTTTTGTACACAATGTTAGCTTATAAGTGCTAATTAATTGGTAAACATTCAGTTAAACATTAACACTGGTAAAGAGCTTTTGTAATGACAGATGCAGTTGCAGCACAATTGTTAACAAGCCATTTTAAAAAGCCAATATTGGAATTATTTTGCTTAAAAGCTGTATCTTAGGCTGGGGGGACGGACACCTTGCGTGCTTTTATTATTTTGGGTAAGGTCTTGGTTTTTTTCAATATTTGAATGAAAATATTTGTGTTTTTGCCAGAGGTTGATGCGTCCTCCAATTTTTTTTCATTGCATCAACTGTACATACTGTGTTCCTGTAATTGGCTGCCTGTAGCTCCTTGCAGGAGAGCAAAAGCTGCTGTTAGTGTCTGCCTCAGACAATCCAATAGTGCATAATGGGAAGGGGGAGGCTTCCTGTTACAATAAAGTCAGCTACCGTCAGGATGCATGTCTCCCTTGGAAGAGTTGTCTGTATTTGCATGTGAGTGGTTTCCTGCCACACTAGAAATTGATTCAAGTACATGACTGTGGATGCTCTCTCCATATTTCCTTACTTTCCTCTTTCTAGCTTGTTTACAAATATTTAATTGTAAGGTTTATCACCATGTAATTTATTTTTTAAACCAAGTTTTCCGTATCTATACCTGACACTTTATCCATGCATGGCGCTTTATAGGAACAAAGTGTATGTAGAACTTTTGTATATACAGTTGTACCTTGGGTTACAGACGCTTCAGGCTACAGACTCCGCTAACCCAGAAATAGTACCTCGGGTTAAGAACTTTGCTTCAGGATGAGAACAGAAATCGTGCAGCGGTGGTGTGGCGGCAGCTGGAGGCCCCATTAGCTAAAGTGGTACCTCAGGTTAAGAACGGACCTCCAGAACAAATAAAGTTCTTAACCTGAGGTACCACTGTAGCATGTTAATAACTGATTGCCTGTTAGCTCTGGGTTACAGAGGGATAGTGAAGGCTGGAAGGAGAGAACCTCGGGAAGGCTTAAAGGTTACAGCTGTATGCAAATGGCCTCTTGTAACTGTCCATCCTGTTTGTGGGCAGCAGAACATTTCACCTAGTTTCTCAGGATGTGGAACTAGCAGTGGTAGTAGCGCAGTTTATTTTTTCCTAAAGTTTTGTTATTTTGCTGCCACTGCAAATGGCGGTGGCAGTAACTGTGTTAGCAGCCTGGACGCCATTTTGCATTCTCCACAATGCCCCCGAGAGAAAGTTCTGCAAATAGATCATTTGGGGGGGGGAGGGGTAAGCAGTGAGAGAAAGAAAAATCGCAGAAGAAAGTCTTCTGAAAAAAATCAGCTCAACTTTACTAGGGATGAGAGAGAAGATATTGGAAAAGCAAGGTGAGTGGAAAATTGTGAGTCAGGGAGCGTAAAGGGTTAGTAGACTTCCCAAATATTGGATGGTAGGTCATTGAATTTTGCACATTGGTTTTAATAGCCAGTTAGATTTTTGGATGCAGGTCTTTAGTCACTATATCATATGGGACACTTATTTGCTCCAAATTACCAAATGTAACATAAAATTAATTGACTTGTGGAGGGAGCAAGTTCTGTTTCCAAAACTTAAAATATAGCGTCACAGGAGTTTATCAGAATTCTTCTCTCGATAGCCTTGGTGAGAGAATTCCATTAAACAAAAAAGCAGTTTCTTTCCCATTGATGCAACACCTCAATATTGGCAGAGGACCCCGAGGTTTTATAACACACACATACTATTTCTCTAACACTGGGGTTAGACTGCAACTCATCCTTGACGGTTGGCCATGCTGGCTGGGGCTGGTGGGAGGTGGCACAACAATATGTTGAGGGCCACAGGCTTTCCACCACTGCTGTAGCGAGAATAGTGCGGGTTCTGGGTCAGTGAAATACTTGTATCGCTCTTCAGCTTGAGAAATTATTTTTTATTTCCTAAAAATAGTCCAACAACATATGAGGGCTCCAGATTGGGGAAGATGTCTGTAGCAACACATTTTAACCAAATATCTATAAAAAGTTCCAAGCCCTTCACTATGCTTAGTGTATGCTCCCCATAGTGCAGGTTAGCTGGGTTGCATCTGTGATAAAATGGCTTATTGACACTTTCCACCTGACAAGCCCCCTCTTTCTGCAGAATTGCCAGATAGAGTTGAGCCACCGGATGCAAGTTCCCAGGTTTCTAGTTTTAAGGGCATATATATTTAATTTGGTCACCTCTTGTATGTTCAGCTGAACTCCATTGCTAACATCTACTTATTTCATGGTCTCTGAGGCAGAGCAGAGTTCAGTGTGATCTTGCAGGTTCAGTTCATTTTGTATGAAAGGCACTACTCCTGCAGTCTTTCCTCTGCCAAAGATGCCTCCTTGTGACTGTATCCTTTGGCATACTGCTCTTCATTATCAGCATGACATTCCTAGGTAAGAGCAGGGCTTAGATCCCAAGAGCCAGTGATCATTCAGCAAAACAACATTCAGCATGAAACAAAACAATGATATAATACTCCAAGCTGACTGGGAGATAGTGAAGACAGCTGTGCAGACTGCAAACTTGTACTTGCCTGTTCCACAACCATACTTTGTGAATATAAAATATTATCCTATCTATCATATTGTAGGGGGCTCACACAATTGCTCTTCTTATCTCTATTCTGTTGTGACAAGGAAGAGGGTATGTGTGGCGGGCTTCAGACAGTGCTAGAAACGAGCCAGACATCACACGGGTTTTGTGACTGGTGTGCGTCCAGTTGTGACCATGTGGAGATCCCTAGATGCCAGGATGGTGACTGACATCTCCACTTGGCTGGCCCCTCCAGCTTTCTTAAGCAGCTAAGTGGGAAGCTTATTTATTGCATTTATATCCCATTGGGACCACAGTGATTCCTGTAGCTTGGTGTCTAAACAACATTTATCAATCACTCATTGGCTGAAAACACTGGCAGGTGGGAGTAGCTAACTTGACTCATTTCACAGAAATCACTTAGACAGAACCTGCACACTTTGCTTCATAACTTTCTTTCAGGAATGCTAGAGACATACCTTGAATTTTCATTCTTTTTTTTTTAAAGAGTCTGGGCCCACTGCCTGGGGTTTTCACTGTAGGCATCTGTGGGCGCCATGGGTTGGCAACCCTCTCATTTCTTGAGGGGGCATTGAGAGGGCAAGAATGGCCATTTTTTATTCTTCCTAGTATCCTCACAACAACTCTGTAACATAGGCTGTGGTGATTTGCCTCAGGACAACCATTAAGTGTCATAACCAAGTGGGGCATTTAAACCTTCATTTCCCATACCTAAACACACTACTGAACTAATTGTACTCCCTACAAAGTAGGACAATTCACCCACCATTTTCTCTCCCTCCCACCACAGCAACCCGCACAATCAAGAGGAAGTGGTACATGTGCCCCACAAAACAACCACCAGCAGAGTGAACAGCTCCAGATGATTAAGCCAGTGAGTTACGTGGCAGGCCATTTTCTTGCTGCCATTTTCTGTTTTGTTGCATTAGGAACCCAGCACCCCAGCTTAGCCTTATAGACCTAAATCCACAGTGGTTATTCTGGCATATTCATGTATGAATCATGCCCATAAGTGTGTCTGTGACGTGTTCTATATGCTTAAACAGAAGCTAGCTTGGTATGGTGCCCTTTGTGCTGCCTCTGCTCTGCTTTATGTGTTCTGGGAAAAGCGAAGCAGTGTGACCAGTTTGGACTGAGGCGTATTAACAAAAACAGCATGATTGCTTGGAGTATTCTCAAGGCTGCCTGTGCTGTTTTTGGCTGCAGCCCATGTTATGTCACTCTGTTACTGTCATAACCTCTGAAGGTCAGCAAATTCACCTAGCATGATTCCTGCATTCTTTCTCCCTCCCATCTTCATTCTAGGCTCTTGTTCAAGCTGCTTAGGTCTTTTTTCTTTGTGCTCCTCACTTAGTAGGTCACGTTTCTGCCTCATCTAGCTGTGCATTTCAGAGTAGCTGAGGTCAGGTTAGAAGTGAAATTGCGAAGTTTGTTTTTCAGGTTTTTGGTGTGTTTCTTTTAGAGAGACCGGCCGATCTGGATACACAGGCTCTGTGTCCTACTTGGAAGCATTAGTAATTTGCAGTTGCGAATATTATGGAAGCAGCTGTAGCTAACAATTGCTAGATGTTGCCATTGTCCTTCAGCTGGAATAGTCAGGGCAGCATGGTAAAGTCCAGGCTAGAGAGTTGTGGGTCTTGGAGCCATTTCTAATGGAAAGTGCCCTGAATATTGCTATTTTTGAATAGTACTAGGCCTGAAAGCAAGTAATAATTTTCTAGTGTTTGCACTGCTCTACCCTCTCACGCCCTACCACAGACAAACATGCTACTCAGAGAGAGAAGCAATTAGATGTGCACATACATAACTTGTAGAAGCAAGTTCACCTATTCTTACACCTCAAGCACTCGGCCTTTCCCTTCTGCCTGATGGAGGCAGCCGGCTTTTTGCAGACAGTGCCAGCGATGACAGTGCACTGTGTTGTTAGATTCTGGACTTGAGAACCAGCTGCTTGCTGGCCCCAGATTTTGGAAAAGGGGGGGGGGATCACCAACAACTGGTGGCCAGGAGTGCTTTTTTACCCAGTTTGGGCTGGTGAGTCAGCTGTGCCTGTATTTTTAGCGAAGGCGGATCTGACTGTGGTCATGTCAAGGCTGTGTTACTGCAACACCCTGTATGTGGGGCTGTCTTTGAAGACCATTAGAAACTTAAGCAGGTTCACAATACAGTTCTAGGATTTTTGAGCAGAGCCATCATTGTGGGCTTCCCATAGACATCTGGCTGCCCACTGTGGGCTATGGGATGCTGGACTAAATTGGCCTTTAGAGTGATCTAGTAGGGCTCTTTATATTATATCCTTTAAAAAGCATAAAGCTTCTATTTCTGCTTTTGGTGTTCCTGGTGGAACAGCCCATTGGGTATGTTACCTTGGGACGGGAGTCTAGGACCATGAATTCATAGATTCTATGCTTGAACAAGATTTGCACATGACCTTTTTTCCTGTTAACTGTGACACTCTCCAAGAGGTAGGACTAAAATAGAAACAGGGTGGTCTGGAGAGATGTGACTGAGTGACTCTGTAACTTCGCCTGTGGGCAATCCAGAGTTTTGCCTGGGTCTTCATGACTCTCTAAAACAATATACTTGGTTGTGGGGGGAGGGGAGCTGATGGTTTGAATCTACGTTTTCCAATTTTAATAAAAAGCTGCAGGAAAAGATTGCTGTTTTGTATTGGCCTTCAGTTAACCGATTTTCACACACGACCTGCTTGCTTTTTTAGGCGTTATTATTTCTGGACACTTTGTGTCATGGTGTCATGGTTAATTGGGTGGGATCTCTCAATGGAATAGTACACACTTTGCATGCAGGTTCAATCCCTAGTATTTCCAGTTTAAAATGTCCAGGTAACAAGTGATGAGAGACACTCCCTAATGCCCGGGGAAACTGCTGTCAGCCACAGCTGGAAGGGACCACAAGGGTTATCTAGTCCAGCCCCCCTGTAGTGTAGGAATATTTTGCCCAACATGGGACTTGAACCCACAACCCTGAGATTCAGAGTCTCACGCTCTACCCACTGAGCTAGGTGGACAAATTGTGTGACCTAGTATAAGACAGCTTCCTTTTTTTCTTTCTTATTTAGAACATGTGGATGTGGCACAAGGAAGGGAACTGTAGTCATCCACGTTTTTCTATCAGATTTTTCTTTTAGAGATTTTTTTTGTTGGATTTTGTATCTGCACAGTCAGTTGAGCGTAACACTTTTCTGCGATTGCATCAAGCTGATGCAAGACCAGTTTCCAGTCGTATTTTCTGTAGGGAAGGGTAGCATTTTATTTTGCTCTTCATCAGTGTTTTGCAAATATTCCACTTGTGCTTAATAATACCTGTATCTCGGAATGAATTGTCCTAATCGTTAATGAACCAAGCCAAAGAAATGGACCTGATCCCATTAAATTGGATGGTTCTGTATAGCATCTGGTTCATGTTGACTGCAGAAATTGGATAGCCAATTTGTTTGTTTTTTGTAACAGAGAAAAATACATTGACATGCCACTAGTATAGGTAGGTGCCTCCCTTCCCTTTGGTTTGCTGCTGCTAGACCACATGGTGATGGAATGTCATTGTGAGCTTGCTGATAGATGCAGGAGAAGATTAATGTTCCTTCTGTCAACTAGGTAAAAGAAGAATCTGGTCCCTTAACACTAAATATTGTGAATCATCTGGGCTGTTTACAGAGATGTCTGGAATTTGGCAGTAAATTTTAGCTGTGTGCTACCTTGTGAATGCAGAAGCTTTAAGAGCAGTGTTCCAGGTTATATTTGTGCCTAGTGGGCTAGCGTGAATTTCAGCTTGCACATTTAAAAGTACAAAGCAAACAAAATCTTACATTTAAATTACTTAAATAAAAAGAGAAATAGGCTCATGTAACTAAAAAAAAAAGGGCTATTTATACTATATTCATGTATGGTGGGAGCCAATTTAAATGTTGAATGACAATACACAAAGAGGAATGAAAGCACTGTCCTATCATAAATTGCTCCCCAAGTTTGTGGGGTTTCCTATATCCAAGCAGCATACTGTATAAATTTTATGAAATAAATAAGCATGAGCCTGTGTAGAAGTTAGTGTTTTGGACTTGGGCAGAGGAGACACTTGGCCATGAAATTCATTGAGTGACCATGGCAGGTCACTCCCTCTCAGCCCAACATATTTCATGGGGTTGTTGAGACACGACATTGTCTTGTACACTACCCTGAGCTCATTGTAAGGAAGATATGAGCATAATGTAATGTGAATATGCAGTCCATCATTTTATTTTTATTTGAGCACAGTTTTCAACTACTTCAGTCTTCCAGGGCAATCTTATGCATGCCTACTTGGAAGTAAATCCCACTGAGTTCAGTGGGTTTTACTACCATGAAAATGTGCCTTGGATTTGTAGCCTTAGATGATTTTCCATTGGCTTCAGCAGGTTTACAGCTAAACTTAACCTGTATTGCTTCATTCCGCCACAAATTTGACTGCCGTTTTGTCCATCAACCCCAGAGACTGCCTGAAAGGAAGCTGGAGGCACAACAAAGGCAAATTCATTTCTAGAGAGCAAACCTCTGTCCCCCAATCACAAAATTGTTGTCTGAATCAAACCCAAATAACCAGTTGCTGCGCTTCCATTTCCTGTTCTGCTGTTGCCTCTGCCCTGGCTCCTGATGGTACACATTGAAATGCAAATGACAGCAGTAATTGGCTGAGAGATAAACCACAATGAGTGACTGAGCCATGCAGCAGGGAGTTAAGTGGCTAAGTGACAATTATTGCGCTGCATCCTCCAGGATCATGAGCAGCAGCACCGTTTGTTCTGGGATTTAAAGGAACTGTAACACTTTAATTGGAGGGCTTTTTTAAAATTATTTGGTTAACGGGGCTCACATAGTTTCTCCTCTGGTTCAGCTTTAGCATGAAGTAGGGTTGTGAAAAGGGCTTTTGCTTTCCCTTGTTTTATTCTTAAGTCTTATACTTGTTTATCGTATTTTTCTTTTTTTATTAGGTATTTTCATGTTTTTAAAACACATTGCAGTGCTTCTGGGTGGGCAGAAGGGAAGTAGATGGAGAAAGTTGGTAATTAACACAGAAACTAAAGGTGACGTCCAATTAAGTCATATTTGGAGTAGGCCCACTGAAAGCAGTGGATTTTCTTGGTTTCGGTGGATATACTCAGAGTATGAGTAACATTAGACATCTCCCTAAGGCTGTATGTTTTGAATGACTGTTCAGCTGAAGGAACACTGGCAGTAGCAAGTTAAAATAGAATCTTGCCGTGGCGTTTTAAATGAACAGTTTTGGGCGATGCAGATTGCAGGCGTGGCCCCATTTTCCCCACCCCTGGCCATTCCATTTGTGTTGGGGCCTGCAGCAGGATGTTTGTGTTTGCTTTAAAAGTACTTATGCCCCACTCTTTAACCAAAAAGAGTCCTGGGAGCTTTTTAAAAAAACCAGTAAGAGCATCCATGCCTACCATAGGCATGTGCCCCACTGGAATTTTACTTACAAGGGAACAAGACCCTTGAACTAAACCCCTGCTCTGAGTACTTGTTTCTAAAGTTATTTTAATAAAACCATACTCTGCTTCTCTGCAGTTTCCTGGGGGCCTGAAGATTACACACATTCCCTTCCCAACATTCCCTGAACTCTTGCCCACATTGGGGTTTGTCTGCCTCAATGGCAAACTCTCTTATCATCTCCACAATATGCACAGAGCCCAGTCCATGTTCTTCTAGCCCAGGGGTAAGCAAACTAAGGCCCGGGGGCCGGATCTGGCCCAATTGCCTTCTCAATCCGGCCCGTGGACGGTCTGGGAATCAGCGTGTTTTTACATGAGTATAATGTGTGCTTTTATTTAAAATGCATCTCTGGGTTATTTGTGGGGCATAGGAATTTGTTCTTTTTTAAAATAAAATAAAAAATAATCCGGGCCCCCACAAGGTCTGAGGGATAGTGGACCGGCCCACAGCTGAAAAAGGTTGATGACCCCTGTTCTAGCCAGTCTAGCACACCAGAAACTGGATCCATTCCAAGCCCAGGTTTTGCTTAGGACTCAAGTTCTCACTTCCTGCCTGACAGCCATGAAAGGTTTTGGTAGGCCTTGCTTTGAGTCCTGATGCCAAAGTTGTTTTAATAAAACCACACTCTGCTTAGACTTCTTTTATCTGCAGTGGAGTCTGGTCCATTAGGATAAATGAGGCCCTGCCCCACCAAACTCCGTCTGCCCCCAGTGAGCCCCCATCTGCCTGCCTTACTATCAGTTCATGGGGTGGCACTGACTGTCGGTGTCGTCCTCTTTAATCTAAGACCACATTCATAGATTTAAAGTAGTATGATGCCACTTCAAATAGTTGTGGTTTCCCCCCAAAGATTTCTGGGAGCTGTAGTTTGTTAAGAGCATTGAGAGTTGGTAGAAGACCCCTGTTCTTCTCACAGAACTTCAATTCCCAGAGTTCCTTATGAAGAGGGATTGTTAAATCACTAGAGAATTGTAGCTCTGGAAGGGGAATAGAGTGCCTTAACTAACAAGAGCTCCCAGAATTCTCTGGGGGAAGCCATTACTGTTTAGTAGAATCATAGCGCTTAGAAAGTATGGTGTGAATGTAACCTGAGCGTTGCCCATGTTGAACTCAATATGAAAAAGTATGGCAACAAAAGCAGAATTAGTTGGCTCGGCCTGTCATTGACTTTGGCTCCCCCTACTGTTAGTCTCCCTGCCTTCCTCCCTACCAGTAACAAACTTAGTTGGTCTCTAAGGTGCTACTGGAAAGATTTTTTTAAAAATTTTGTTTAGTCACCACCGTATTTAGCACTCTCTGGTACTGCTAAATCACTGCTTAGTAGTGACAATGATGCCATAAAGATTTGCTCTTATTTGTAAACTGAGTAAAGCACCCAACTCGGAGAATGCTTCAGGAAATAAAACCGGTAATTTTTATGCTGATGCAATGATGGTTTCAGAATGTAGGAGACAACTGCATGTTTGAATGCTCTGGATGTTGGGGAGAAGGGTTCTGAAACTGTAACTTAGAGCTGGTGATTGAGCTGGTGTGTCTCCCCTATCGCCATCCTCTTTTCCTTTTGTGTCATGAATGAAAGGGCTGTCTTATTATGGATATTGTAATCTACTCCAGGAGCCTTTCTTGGCTAAAGAGCAAGGTAAAATGTTTTAAACAAACAAATAAACAATGGCTCTTCTTATTTGGGAGCTCTGTATGCACAGGGAATACTTTATGCTGAGGAAAATTAAAACTTGTGAGGAGGTCTGAATGAGGCTTCCCATATGTTCAATTCAGAATGTGGAATCGGAGGCCATTGTATTAATTATTAAACGCTAGCCTTTGGGGAGGAAACGTAGACCCAGATTCTGGCTGTGCATTTAACGCCACAGTGGCTGTGAAGTTCAGGAAGAAGAGCCTTTTAGGAGTCGGCAGGATTAGAGAGCTAGAATTGCTGTGTGGAACGGAGCAGTCAGAAAATTGATTGGGTGCAGCATAAAACAAAACATTAGGGCGTGATAATTCATAGCACTTGCACTGAGACAAGAAGAAGTTTATCTAGTTGATCCAGTAACCTGAAAGGGAAAAAATGTTTATATATAAAATTTGAGGGGAGAGGCTGCGTGATCTGTGGGATTCATTGCTACAGTGGATTGGGGCAGGGGTGGGGGGAGAGGTTTAGTCAAAGAGCCACAACAATATTTTATTTATGTTGTTCCTTAAAATATTTATGGCCTGCCCTTCATTTATATAGATCCCAGAGCAGGGTGTGCAATACATGATATAAACATAACAATAAAACAATCAGAATAGAATCTGCTAAAAACAAAACACACTGCAGCAGAGCTGGTCAAAGAGTAAAGCTCTTAAAATGCCTGCACCAATAGACAAGTCTTGACCAGGTGCCAAAGTGATAGCAATGTCAGCACCTGGTATACTGCTAATGGGAGGGCACCGCCACCAAGAAGGCCTTCTCTTGTATAACCACATAATGCACTTTCGCTAACAATGAGTTGTGGAAAAGAGTCAGCTCCCTTAGAAGATTTCAAGTCATGGTCAGGCTGGTAAAGGGTGAGGTGTTCCTTTGAGTATTTGACTCCTAAGCTATCTCGGTCTGTAGAAGCAAGTCCCTAACACTGAATTTGGCTCAGGAAACAAATAGGCAACCATTTTACACAATTTAACCAAATCTGGATATTAATAATAAAAAAGTAAAATAGTGCACATTTTTGTAAATGCAATATAAATGAATGCAGTCAGACAAGTCTGCTAGAGTTTGGCAGAAGAGAGGTGGGAATTCAGTCTGTTCTGAAAGTCTGCTGGGCACAGAGGTGGGGTTGAGTAGTGCATCCCTCTTCTGCCAATCCCTTCGATTGCCTACATGGAATTTAATGCATCCACCTGCATGATGGCTGTGTTTTGCCTCCATTGCTGAAATCTGTATGCTTTGAATACCAGTTTCTGGGAATTGCCAATGGAGAGAGGTTCTGTTTCACTCGCCTCCTGGCCTCTGTCTGGCCACTGAGAACAGGATGTTCTTATGCAGCTTCTTTTTCCATGTGGCTACCAGGCTAGCGCTTAGATACAAGCTGGGATAGTTGATCTCTGCTGTCTGCATTGTCTATTAAAAGGAAGAAGGGAAAATATTACCCCCAAAATGAAATAACCCTGTAAACATTAAAAATACTCTTCTAAAATGAAGCCACATCTTAAAGGACCAAAGGAAATTGGTGAACCACATTGACATTTGGGTCTTCAGCAAATCCTAATGCTCTACAAAAATATTTTATAGACTCGCTTTCTGTCTGTATACCATTTCTCAATCAGATCTGGATTCTCTGAATAGCACAGAATGTTTTAGAAATAGGTTTAGATGACCATGCACATAAACATTTACAGCATAATAGTCAATAATAATTTCACAGCATAGCCTACTGTCTAGGTATGGTTAAGACTCTCTGTGTAACCAGCAGTTCCTCCCTGTACAATTGGGGAAGATTGAAGCAGGCAAGATTTTGCTCATGCACAGTAAGACATAATGTATAACTTGCTGTGATGCGTGGACCTGGCCAATGCAACCCAAGAAATCAATATATTCTGTAGCTTTCCATTTTGTTTTGCATCTTCATCCAGCAAATTGTGTTAGACAGTTACACTGTGTCTTTAAAAAACAAAAGAAATTGTGTAAGTTAGCTGGGCTTGCACCATTGCCATTGATCTCACTTTTCACATTTAATGGTGCTGTTTGATTTGGAGAAATGTTTGGAGTGGAATGTTCAGTTCCTCTGCAGACAGAAGCCTGCTTGGGTGTGGGAAATGGAAGTAGCCATATTTTGGCTCCATTACAGAAGAACATTCAGTGATGATACACTTCAGTTATCAAGTCGGGGAGTGGGGAGTTCATAGATTCTTCCTGCTCCAGCTTCTGTACCTCAGTGTTTGGGTCTCATGAAGTGGTGCCTTGACTTCGAGTTTGCAAAATAATAATAATAATAAACTGGAATGAAATAAGATGGACTAGTGTTTGCTGTTTACTTAACCATTTCCAGACAGAACAATTATTGACATACTCGCCTTTCCTCATCTCCCTCTCCTCCCAGTGCCACATCTGCCTACCTTTAAAGGCAGTTGATTTGTTTTTAACGTACACAGAATGGGATAAGTAGGGAAGTGTGGTATTTTGTGCACTGAATTTGAAAGCTGCAGTTTTGCCCTTGGAAAAGGAGCTGCTTGGCTGAATCCCTCAATATTAAGAAGTCAGTGTTTAGATTTGTAGGTGTATGTGTGTGTGGCTGTGTGTGTTCAGTTACTTCTTTCACCCTGGACTATCTGGAGTCTTCTCAATAGTTAAAGTTCATTGTATATAAGCACACAAACATGTTTCCTAGTGTTGGCTAAAAGTATTCTGAAAAGCACTGAAATTAGGAATGGGTATAGGCTGCAGGGATGCGGGTGGTGCTGTGGGTTAAACCACAGAGCCTAGGGCTTGCCAATCAGAAGGTTGGTGGTTCAAATCCCCACGACGGGGTGAGCTCCCATTGCTTGGTCCCTGCTCCTGCCAACCTAGCAGTTCGAAAGCACATCAAAGTGCAAGTAGATAAATAGGTACTGCTCCGGCGGGAAGGTAAATGGCGTTTCCGTGTGCTGCTCTGGTTTCACCAGAAGTGGCTTAGTCATGCTGGCCACATGACCCGGAAGCTGTACGGCAGCTCCCTTGGCCAGTAAAGCAAGATGAGCACCGCAACCCCAGAGTCGTCTGCAACTGGACCTAAAGGAAAATTAACTGAAAATTCAACATCATATGTATGTTGGGACTGGACAGAACTAAATGTCCCCCCAGGGGGGCATTTGAAGCATTTATATGCCTCTTCACTCATATTGTATTTCAAAGTGGTGTTGCTTTTCTTATGACATTTCATATTTAGATGTGCATTGCGAAAATGGTGCATGAAGTCACCTGAAGGAAGCAGTGGTACTAAGACATTTTCATCACTAATTTTAAATTTACCCCCTGGCATTGCTGGATATTATTTTAGAGTTAAGCCAGTGTTATTGAAAGCAGAACCTACTCTGGAAACTTCCTGTCAAGCATCAATGGAGTCCCCGTGTAACCATGTGGCCTCTTACCACCCTGGAAACTAGTGAGTCCATTGATCAGCTTTTCTCAACCTGGCATCGTACAGATGTTTTGGACTAGAGTTGTGTTGGCTGAGATTGATGGATGTTGTAGTCCAAAACTTCCTGGAGAGCACCAGGTTTGGGAAGGCTGGCATGTTTACACACCCAGAAACACCCACCTTGAGTCAAGTAGACTTGAGTGATGAGGATGCTTTAATATATGTCAGAAAGCACCTTACATGCTGAAAAGCATGTTTAGCGACTGCTCATAATAGACAGTTGCCAAGTC